GACATGACGTTCGTTGACTTTAATAAGTAGGTACTACCAACCGAAGAACGCGCATAACCCCTTCTCTCCAGCGGAAACTAAAAAACACCGCGATGCGGGAAAGTCGTTTTCCCGTGCATCGAGGATGCTTGGAAACATTATCTTTCCATTCAATGAGTACAAAAAATAAATTTCGGTTTTGGACTTCAAAACAAACTAATTGAAATGACAGTTAGGTAAAAAAACAACTACGCAAAGTTAAAAACTACTCGGAGATCTACAATACGCGTTACTAAACTAAGTGTGCAATTAGTGAAGTGTGAGTCTAACTTAAGTAATATCTATGAATTCCACCCTTAAGCTCCTTTAACTGTTACCGGCACTATACCAATTGGAAATATCAACTTTTTCTTTAGTTGAATACATCGCACACGAACCGAAATTAGAATAAGGATAATATTCAAATTAATTAATATGACAGGCAGATCCTCATTTGTTGTAGGTAGTTACTTTGGTTGCATAAAGTTAGGCGTCCTTAGAAGACTTTATCATGTAAAAGTAGACATAGGAAATACCTATGTCTACTTCTACATGAATATCACTGTATATTCCATCTAATATGGTCTAAGCTTTTTCATTTCGAGTATAAAAAGGCCAATTACAGCTATAATTTAAACAAGACTGACTCAAAGGTCCAAAATGAACTCCTTCGCATGACGCCGGCATAACTAGGCGGGGTGATTATTCAAAACAAATTATAGAGTCCCAAGTCTAAACCGTCTGTATGACCAAAGAGTACCCACTCTTTGGTATGACCCAAGGTTCCAAGGAATATTTGTACAAAAAAATCAGAATTGTAAGCGTATATCAACTTTCGAACTTCTAGATTTTACTGTTAGTTTGACAGTTAACATTCAAAATGTCTAAAAAATCTTTGCTACACAAAAGTTCATCGAAGAGCAACTCACATTCGGTTCGAAAAGAACGATCTTCACTCATCAAAGAAAAAAAGCAATTTATCTCGGAACTGAATTTTGAAGAATCATTAAAACCATATTGGAAACAATTTTGTGGCACAAATTTCCCAAAACTTAAACTTTTAATCGCCGAACAACCAATTGGGATTTTCTCTAGTTACGGTAATATCCGGTTTACGTTCCAGTAGTAAAAATTTGAATTCCTCAGAAAAGAAGGTGCAAGTAAAAGTAGACGAACCCGAGATAATGTTAATATTTAACGAGTTGCAAGCCGTTTTAAACTGCATAATTTTCAAAAATGTGATTGTAAATAGAGGACTTTTAATATCCCTAAGGAAAATTTTGCACGGGTTCGATGTGCTCCGGACATTAAAGTAAGCTCGCAAGAATACCAACTCTTGATTAACATCCTTTATTTAAAGATTGGAGTATTGTGGTTTGAAGAATACTGATATTAGAACCGTCAAAACTATCGTGCAAAGTTACCCTAACATTCAGACTCTAAGCGTGAATGGAAACCCAAATCCATTTCAAAATTTCTACATATTAATCAAAGATACGCATTTACTCTATTTATCAGCAAGATTTTGTCAAATTAATGACAGAGGCACGAAACTGATAGCAAACCAACTGAAACTGCCATACGATCACCCCCTGCGCGCTATCGATCTGTCTAGCAATTTTATATCTGACACGGGTGCTGAGTTTCTATCTGAAGTGTTGCGTGTCAACCGAACTTTATTGTCTTTAAATTTAGCTGATAATTGGATCACAGACGCTGGTGTACACTCGGTGGTTAATATATTAGGGAAGTTTATTCTTACACCGGACGAATGTGTTATAAGAAGGCGAGGAGTACTAAATTATTTAAGGGATAAAGCTAAAACGGTAAATCAGCATTTGAACTCATTTGAAATTGACCAATCGAAGCACATAAAGTGTGACGTCGTCTACTTGCGGGAAATTTAAAATGAACCAATAGATTAGGGTATAACTATACAAATCTCGCTATTGGAGTAACCTCTGTAGTTTGAAGAACATAACATAGTTCTTACATTAAGTTTGTGCGGTTTTTAGAGCGAACCACATGAAGGAAATGGACAAAGTTCCAGTAGCCTATTTCAGAAATCCTGTTCCGAAACGTTGAAACCTGAAAAAGAGATACATAAAAAAATAAGCAGAGGTAAATGCCGTGCAGGGTAAGAGGTAAATGAGAATAAGCTATATAGTATTAATGGACAGTCCCAGCCCAGTACCATACCATAGAGTAAAAAGTTGTCCAGTACCTACCAAGCGTTTGGCAATTTAAATAATTGACCCTTAGTCATGTGTTATAATTATTTCCATGTAACCATGCGACTTAACTGGGCTTATAACAATAATTTATATGTGAAAGTTTCAGCTCACTCGTTACCTTCATCGGGAAAGAAAGAGTCGAAACTGTCACAAACAAAAAGATTATCATTGAGTACTGAAAAGTTGGCTTGGAGTGCTTCCGAAGTATCTATAAAACTGGATCCGCATCCATTTGTGAAAGACACATATAGTGAAGGACAAGAAATTTGGTGCACTGGAAATTTGGCACTTGCACATTTAAATATATCATGTAAGCAAATTAGAGTATGGTTGTTCAGAAAACGTAGGATTACATATATACCTACAGGTTACGACAGTTTTATTAATTATCTCAAAAATTTGGTACGTCTTCACAAGTTCCAATAAAGAATAAATTGTCATTTCTTCTTTAGCTTTTTTGTATCAGTAACCATAACACATTGGAGGATTTAACATATTTGCTCATGTTTTAGGGTAAGTATGCCCTTTTAGATTTTGTAAAATTTTTCAAAATTCATAAATTTTGATCTTGAAGAAATTTGGTATCTTTTAGGTATCTTTAAAATTTGAATGAAATTGAAAAAAAACAATTGTGCTCGACTTGGCGTGGCAATGAAAAAGTTATGAAACTTCTCTAATTATTTCGATGCACAAAAAATACCGCACTCTCTATTTAATACTAAACTGGAAGATATGTCTTAACACTTAAAAAAACTATCCCTAGTCTACAGGGTGATTCCTATAGTACCCGCCACGTTTGGGAGCGTATAGTGCGGGTGCCTAGGGGAGTATTTTGATATAGGACACTTGGGGCCGGAAATCTAAAATAAGGGCGCCAGAACCAATTTTATCTTCTGGAATTTCACGCCTGTATGTAGGCAACCCAACCGACCGACGTTTCGCGCGGAGCGATGCAGAGCGAGTTAGCGCGAGGAAGCGACATGGGAGGGAAGGAGGGAAAACGACAGTCAAAAGCAATAACGTTTACAAGTGTTCAACGTGGCCACCGTTGTTCTCAATGCACTTCCTACATCTAGCCAACTATTATTATACTATTGCCATAGTGTTTATTCACTTGATACGCGTCGTTGCAGACGGGATTTCGTGGGTTTAAACAAAATTCTGATCAAGTGTCAGCCACACATCGCCGCCTGAGATCGCTCCGTGTGCACCGCCGGCCGGTTGGGTTGCCTACCTACAGGCGCGAAATTCCAGAAGGTAAATTTGGCTCTGGCACCCTTATTTTAGATTTCCGACCCCAAGTGTCCTATATCAAAATACTCCCCTACGCACCACCTACACGCTCCCAAACGGTGGCAGGTACTATAGGAATCACCCTGTATTGATGGGAGTTATGTAATAAAAAAAGATGCTACTTGATTCGTATGAGGCACTAACAATAATCATTACATTTGTATATTGGAAATACATTATTTGGAACGATGAAAAATAAAATTTTGTATGCACCTCAGGCATTACTCGATATTTAACCCTCGGGCGACTTACAATCCCTCGAGCCAGAGGCCCTCCGGCTCTGTCGCCCTCGGCATAAATATCGCCTTAATGCCCTTGATACATAAATAACTATAATGATGAATTTGTTTGTATTATTATTCAGATAGATTTGCATGTAGTGTTTTGTAAAAATTTATCTCATCTCTGGTCATTGCGATAAGAGCGATATCGCTGCGTAAGCTGATGTTTTAAGTAGGAGAAACGGACGTTAATCGTTGCTTTTTTTGGTGGTGGAGACAATTAGTATATCGCAGTCAGCAGCAGTGATTTGTTGCAAGACGTTCAGTCTTGGTGATAAGAAAGGTTTTGTAAAAGAAAGTCAGTTGTATGCTCTAAGAGATTTAACCTACTACGTCGATTAAAGTGAATGTTTAAGTCGAGTTAAGCGTAAACGTGTAGTGTGCTTACGAAAAAGTTATTCGGAGTAATGTCGTTCAAGCGTTTATCGCCTACGTGAAGCCTCAGTCCCCGTTAAAGGGAGTTTTTTTTCACCATCAAAGAGAAAATTTTACATCTGTATTTCAAATAAAGCCACTGTCGTTTAAATGGAGATTCATGTGCAATAAAAGAAGTAAAGTTACGAAGTATCAGCGTTTGATGTTTGTGCATCAGTTACAAAAAGCGTAATTGGCCGCATATTTTGGATTTTTAACGCGTTAATGTAGTTATGTTTTCTTTAATTGCTTCTTTCAATCGATCGCTTGAGCGTGGTACTTTGTTTCATATGTTGCTAATAATAATAATAAAAATTGCGTCAATACTTACACTACTACATTCAAACAGGACGTTAGGCATTTGCTCGTCTATGATTCCCAAATCCCGGGAAAATCGATTAAGTACACTTCCGGATAAATTATTATCGAAGAACATCATTCCAGTGTTCAAAATGCGATCTACGACCGAATTGTGTATATTCGTAGACGCTTTGCTACTGAAGGTGTAAAACGTGTAAGCCCGAAGTATTGTAAATATTGCTGTACCCAGCATCACAAATGAGTACAATCGCATAACGTTGTCGTGAGATTCTTCTAATTTTTGGTACTCTGTCGAATTTGTGGTTTGGTTTAAACGAAATCCAGAGAGCTCTTGTTCCATGTCTACCCTAAAATACTTGGGTTACGGTTTTTAACGTGCAGAAACGTACTTACCAAAAGCTGACGAAATAATCCGACCAACTAGATGTGGCTTGGGCGACTACTGAACAAAGAGCAACTATCAAGAACATCTTCAAGCCGCCACCGGAAACAAAGTATGCATAGTAAACTGCTTTGTCGACCTGCCCTTCGCGATTGCTTTCTTCGTAGAGATTTGGAACTTCTCCTCTACTCTGAAGCAGTAAAGACGATTCGTCGGCGTCACAAGCATCATTAAAATCTCCTGCTTTATTAAGCGTTTGGGGTTCGTCTAGCTTGTTGCAACGGAGCACTGAATTAACGTCATTCAATTTTTTAAAACTACTAAAGTCACCATGGAATTTCAATTGTCCATTGCTTAAAGTAAGTACATGATCCGTGTCATCTAATGCCAACGCACTGTGCGTCACAAGCAAGCACAGATGATCTTTCAAAAACCTTTTTATGCACTCATTGTAAATATGTTGGGCTACACAGCTATCGACTGACGACAAGCAGTCGTCCAATAAGTAAATGTCGGCTTTCTTATAAATGGCTCTCGCCAAGTTTATTCGCGCTTTTTGACCTTTGCTGAGATTTAATCCGTGATCAGCAACACACGTTTGATCACCACTCAGAAACGCGTCAAAATCGTGTTCTAATGCGCAAATTTCGATCACTTTCCGATAACGCTTTTCATCGAACTCTTCTGCGAAAATAATATTTTGCCTAACCGTCGCGGGAAACAGCCAAGGATCTTGAGAGGCGTAAGACACCTCCCCGCACATCTCTATTTCACCTTCCGCTTTTGTGACGTCACCAAGTAGCAGTTTCAGCAAAGTTGACTTTCCAGTACCGGTTGGTCCAATCACCAATGTCAAACCTTTCGAAACGCTAATACTGATTTTATCCAAGATCGCGGCCCCACTTGAATTTTGCACGGTTACATCCTTCACACAGATTTTCGGTTCCTTAACTTCGCACAGATTCTCGTTCCCAGGTACTTCTTCCATCATGAGAAAGTTTGTAATTCGATATAGCGATGCTTTCAGTTCCGCCATTTGAGCGATACCCAGCGGCATAAAGGTGGACAGAACAGCTCTCAGGGCACCGAAGCACGCAGTTACAATGAAGGCCTTTTCGGCCGTTATATGATTACCCAAAGCAATGTATGTCATAACGCATATGTAAAAGGCGAAACGCGAGGAAAGTAATCCGAAACACAACGCAATGGCCTTGATATAAAACAAAATTCGCAAATCCTTGATTTCGCGCCTAAAAAAATCGATTTTAGTATTCAACAAGACGTGCTCGTAACCTACTTCCGTAACTGGTTAACTGTTTTGCCAAAGAACTTTTCCCAAGTATACATTTTTATGATCCGAATTGCGGTTAACATTTCCTGGGTGATCTTCACTCTCTCATCGGTTTTCGCAGCAGTTTTCAGTCGAAATCGCGCCGTCCATTTTCCCAAATACACTAAAACGAGTTTTTACCAATCTGTATCGCTCAAAATTGGAAGAGAGAATATGGTGGTATTAACCTTGAACCGGGACGAAGAGCAAAAAGAACAACATTGCGATTAGTGCCGGAATTCCAATTTGGGCGTACATCATCCACGATAATACAACAATTTGTATTACTCCGTTCCACAGGTGATGGAAGAAGTGAATGCTAAAGTACAGGCCGTTAACATCTTTGGTCAATAGAGTAATAACTTTTCCAGAGGCGACCTCCGACGAAGAACTCGTCCCTAAAGCCAGACATTTTCTGTATATCAGCCCATTGAATGCGATTTGTGTTCTGATAAAAAGTCGCTCAATCCCAAACATATACGAGTGAAAACCCACCGTTTTTAACAAAATAAAGGAACCTAAGGCTAAGGAGTAACACAACACATGCATGTTGCCCTCAGAAGAATTCATTTGAAATGACTTTACAATTTTTCCTATTAGAAGTGGGAAAGTTGCCCTGGAACGAAGCAATTACAAGCGATAGCCAATTTCCTAAACTTACATAGTAACTGTGTTAATCAATAACAGTCCGATTCCCAAACAAGCATAGGTCACACCGAACATTTTGAAAAAACAGAACACTAATTTGGGATTACGTTTACGTTTCTCTTCGTCCCACTTTGCATCTAAGGCGCTAGCCAACAAGCCACTTTGGCAATCTGTCGTAACTCCGTAAACATCACTTACTTGGAGCGCCCTTTTCAGTCCCTGCCGAAAAATTGGAAATGTAAACCTACGGAAATTTCTCACAGCGCCCCACAACGAAACAACGATTACTCACGAGTACACAATTTTCGCAAACAAATTTGCATTTTCCCTAGGGTTTTGTGGCCGATGACCCTTTGTGGAACGAAACATTCTGAAAATAGCACTAAATGTAATTATTAATTTTTTGCAGACTGGGGCTTGAAGTGCACATAATCTAATCTAGTACATTTAAATTGTATGAGGTTTATCGAAGTTACTTGGTGATAGGGCTTATAAAATATCATTCTGATTTAATAAAGATTAGAGGAGATACATACGCCGATTATGTGTTACGTAATATACGTTAAATGAAGGACAAAGGGAATAATATAAGAGACAGACGTGCCTTCCATGTAATAATATTCACTAGGGACTTTAACCAAATCAACCAATTCATTTACCTACATCGGCCGCATATTTTTATTACATTCATTTTGATTGAGAATACACGGAACTATAGAAAAAAATTTCCCACGAGGCCCTGTAAGAAAAACACTATCCGAGAAGGATAACTTCCAGGAAAAAAGAGAAAGACGCGTGGAAATTTCTTAAAAATTCGCACGTCACAGAAATTTGAACATGGTATAGAAAGTTTTCAGTTGTAGGTCATTTGTGACGTTTCCTTTCGCATTCTTCCCCATTTGTTTATTTACTAAAATGTATTATTTACTCCTTTCAACGGACACAATTCATAAGAACCTATAAATGGCGCTTGCATGCTCCTATTTTTGTCTCTCCTTTTCAGCCCGAAAAAAATACATAGCCGTGCATTGAAGGAAACTAGCGGTTACATTTGCCCCATGAGGCGTAAGGACTGTTGATTACGCGGACGATGAAACGTATGGTTGCTTGGCCGTTTTAAAAAATTCGTTTCTACCGCTACGTAGCGAACGTGAACGAAAGTATGTTTGGAAACAGAAGCGATAACCGCGTGTATTTTCGAAAAAGTGTGCATTTTAGAGATAAAAAGCTAGTGAGCCCGTGGTGGAGAGCTTTTGAAGGTAGTTTGAGTTAGACCGTCAGCGAGCATGTACCTTGTTTTCCAGAGTTCTCATCGGTCCACTAGGCGACGCACTGTAATTACGTTGGGATTTAGCCGTCGATCGCTACAGCGCATTTTACATGAGTTGAAGTTCGCTCGTATACAATAATGATCACTCAGGAGCTTTATGAGTACCGAAATCGGTTTTGTGAAATAATACTAGATGTGTTGCACTCCGCAGATGTTCTCATGATTTCAGATGAGGGTAATTTTTAGTTGAATGGATATGTCAATAAGTAAAGCGGAAAATCCTAGTGAATTACACCAAAAGCAGTGTCAAGGTGTCAGTTTGGTGCAGAATATCTAAATTTGGTATTTGTGGTCCATGTTTCTTTAAAGAGAAATTAAAGACAGTTTGCTTCCTGTAGTGTACAGTGTCAGAAATCTAGGCGTTGTGGTAGATAATCAACTTCGTTTTAAAAGTCACGTGTCAGGACTCCTTCGGAAAACCTATCTTAATCTAAAAATGATCTTTAATTTAAGGCACAGCCTCAATCGTAAGATTAAGGTAATGCTTTGCGAATCCTTGGTTCTATCACATTTTAATTTTTGTGACACTGTATACGGCCCATGCCTGGACGCAAGTGACGTCAAACGAGTGCAACGGATGCAAAACTCTTGTCTTAGGCTTATCTTTGGTCTAAAAAGATATGACCATGTTAGTAATAAGTTAAGTGAGGTTAAATGGCTTAACATGTCAAATCGTAGAGTGTTACACGCAGCATGCCTCTTATACAACATCATTTCCACGAAAACACCAGATTACCTATACAGCAAAATTAAATTTAGGCATAATGTCAATATTAGAAACAAAAACTTCACTTCTTTACCAAGTCATAATACCAGTATTTTTCAAAGATGTTTCACTTATAATGCTTCAAAAATTTATAATTCCTATTACAACGTTTTCACTGATTCAAAGTTTTCTTCTCTTAAATCTTTTAAAAAAGCAATGTATACCTTACTTATGGATAGACAGCGGAGTAGGTACTTGAAACTTGAAACTGTTGAGTCACTTAAAGTTTGGCACAAACCCAAATTATGCAATTCTGCCATTTGTGGTCGAGTATTAAAAGCTCGATGGAATGGGGTTAAGTGGTAGAACAGACAGTGTGGTACCCTCTTGGGTGCCCACCAGTCTGAACTTGCGCCCCTTTGAGCTAACATGCTTTTTTTTATTTTTTTTATTCATTAGAATATGTAGTTAATATCATGTTTAGCTCAATAAATGCCTATTATTATTATTAGAATGGTGCTACAGTCACGGTGAACTCAGTGCGCTATGTTAACATGCTCCGCAACTTTTTAGGACCACACGTTCAAAGGTTAACGTTCAATAGCAACGTATTTATAACGGTACACGCCAAATATTCGTAGTGCGTGCCTTGCATAGTCCATTATCGATACAGAATTCCGATGGGAATTTAATCACGTGATTACCATACCAACGATATAATGTTGCGTTGCATGGACGCTACGATTTTAAGTAAAGTGGACATCTGGTACGCTTTCTGAATCATCGCGAAGTTATTTACACCGGCCCGGTGTGAAGAGTTCTACCGGCACCGGTACCAGCATCCATCCGGCAAGTGTGCGTTGGCGTAAAAATTCAGTCTCCAAGTTTCTTTTCCTGGGACACGTAAAGAAAGTGAGGAGGAAGATCGCCAAAATATCGCCCAAATTAAATTAATTTTACGTTTTAAACCCCCACAACAGCTAAAAAGGTGTCACGCAGGCGAGAGATTAATACCGCTTCCTACAGAATGGTGAAATAACTATATGGCGTGATATATTCCTGCCAAACACGCAAATAATAACAGGTTATGGCACCCACGCTAATTAAGGTCTGCGAATGGTTGGTATACGAGGTCCACTAACTACGGCTTGGCTAGCTATGAGAGGCATGATAGGCTTCAAACCCTTAAAGAGTGGGTGGGCTGAGTTCACCCCCACACAATTATATAAAATTACATAAAACATAAAACAAAAAGTACTAATGAGAAGCGAAAACTGCCGTGTCTTTGCGATGGGCCCGAGTCGAACAGAGCCGGTAGAATGATATTGATTTCAGACACACAAAAAATGATCCAAGAGAACTTCGAAGCAAACAAATTAAGTTTGAAGATGGTTGTAGGAAAGGAAATAATTGTACAAATTGGAACTACAAATTACTTATATCATTGAATATAATTATTTATTCAATGCTTATATGGATGTAACTATAGAGGTAACACAAATGACGCACTAATGCACGGGTCCAGCACAAATTGAATATTAGTAAAATAAATTCGCATTTTCAAAAAAAAATGCCGTAGAAGCTAACATGACCCCAAGAGATCATTGGATTTGACCCATTTGTAATAGGCTTATTACTTGTAGCATATAGGTCCACTGTGCAAAGTTTGAACCAAATCGGTCCAAGCGTTTGATAGTTATCGTGTTCACGGACAAACGGACAGACGGACACCATCGACTCCCCTATAAAGCTTGCATCGCTTTGCTCTGCCGCTTAATAAATGTCAATGTACGTATATTTCTAGTAGGTCAATAAGAGGTAAGATTTAATTACGCGAAATCAACAGCGGTCAGGATTTTCACAGTAATACAGTTTTGTGTTTTTGACAGCGAATGGTCTTTAATACTGAGGGCTAGTTACATTAAAAGGGCGAGTGTATGTAAAGAAGTGACGTGAAAAAGTTTCCCTTCGACGATAATTAAGAAAAGTTGCGCAAGACGAATTCCATAAGCTACTTCGACTAAATTGTATCAAAGAGTAACCATAATACTCTTTGATTGTATAGCATCCCAATTTGGGAATCTATTAAAGAACCTTGCGATTTGGTTCATCCGCCAGCGCCTTTTCTGTAAACAGCATGCGATTATATTAGCCAGTTAGCGTAAGAACCACTACGCAGAATCTTCCCGAAAGCCGACCTGAGGAGATTATACGTGAGGCGTTGTAAATTTCCTTCCTCTTGGATGTCAGCCACTTATTGCTTCAATTGCAGCAATTAAAAGGTACATTTCGTTCTTTTGAGAGCGATATCAGAATTTTACTTTCATTGTTTCAAAGGTATTTTAAAAATTTTATGAACTTTTTGGAATTATTGCTGCTAGGAGGAAAAAGAGATATTTGGTCAAAAGAGGGGCTGAATGAAAATTACAGAATTTCTCCAAAACATACTGGAGTATAACTTTCAGAAGCCGCATTTTTTCAAATTTTGATGACAATTAATGAGATACCAGTGAAAGCAGCGGGAACTGAATTTTTTCCTTATTTTATACTAGATACTTTTTACCTGAGCTAAGGGGAAGCAAACGTACCAAAAAGGTAAGTTACAAGGGTACGGCAACATAACCAGACGAAGTGATCACCAGAAGAATTTACACCATAATCCGAGAAGGAATTTAACCCTTTACAAGATACCAATAAGCATTAGCAACCCTTCTGCGATGAAAAATTACCGAACCACCCTTCTATTTGTAACCATCCGTTACAGTTGATTAATAAATCAAAATCTTGCCCTTAATTGCCCTTTATAAGCCACATAAAAATTATTTGGCCGTACGTGTACTGTTGTAGACTCTATACATCTGTTCACATTGAAAAATCGTGTCACAAATCCAAATTTTTAAAGCATTGCAAAAAAACACAGTATTATGGAAAAAAAAGTTCTTGTAAACGTACCGTTGCGTTAGCGGTTAGTGGATTTAAACGACCAAAATGTTCTTAATATTCCAATTAGTTATTGGTTAAAAAAACTGCCAAACCAACGTTCATATAAAAAATTCCCATCCTGCAGATTTTTGTCTGAATCTACCCCGTTGGAGTCTTCACCCGCCTTTCACCACCATATTGTCTCAATGAAAATGATGCAAAATGTGTCACTTACCCTGAAGAGGCAGTAAAACGAACAACACTGAAGCACCACATAAAGCTGCAACCCCAATTTCAGCATACATCATATATATCATAATGCCAGCTTGAAAAATGCCTGACGCCATCAAAATAACAATATCAATTGCATATTCTAGATGGTTAATGTCCTTCGATATCACTGTTAGCACCAATCCAGTAACGTTGTGTTTCGATAAGGCAACATTCAACTTCAGGCACTTTCTATAGATCAGTGATGAACATGCAACTTTCACTTTCAGACCAAGTTCCGATATGTATAGGATGTATGCTTGTATGTAGAAAGTGTACAACAGTATTAGACCAAGTAATTCTGTTGTATAAATAATTGCATCATGTAACGTTACTTTGGAGTTCGGTGTAAAGTATGATACCAACTTCCCTAACAACAACGGGTAAATAATCCTACAAGAACAGTACGTTTTTAATTAGGTATGTCATTGGACGTTTCTTACATTATTGCTGTATCTATTACAGTCACCCCGAATATCCAAAAGAGAAATTTCTTCCAAAACAACTTAATCACCGCATACATGAAGATATTCCTTCCACTTTTTTTCTCGGTCCTCCACGCCGCCTCCAACTCATTCCCCAAATCTTCCGAACCAAACGACTTGAGTATTTGGTAAACATCGGCATCTTTAACATTTTCTCTAGGAAACTGTCTAAAAATCTTGAGCGCGAAACTAAAATGGTTCCGATAATAGGTACTACGATTGACCACTCAATTCGTACTCACAAAAAGGTTAAAACTGATAACCAGCTAGCATTCTCCCTAGGATTGATTTTGCGCAGCCTATCCGCTCTACAATCCATTTTCTACCTCAAAATACTTACTAAAAACTGTTTTGCCAGTAGTGAAACCATAATTTCTGTTAAAATAGCTAAATTGAATAAGTAGTTAATACGTAGGTAGGTTTGCTCTTGTACCTCAATTTATTCCAATTTTCTTTGGCTCTCGTGCACTTAATTAACCTCAATACAACAACGGACGAGATCGATCAAACCATTTTCTTCAAAAACTACACTGAGGGTGTCCGACATGGACTGGCGGTTTCGCTATTTTTCCACGGCAGCAATTGAAGGGCATAAATTCGAAGTTGAACCGATTAGCACAACAATGCCTTAATTAAGGTATAATGCAACGCTTTTTAGAGTTCGTTGTGTAGCAAGATATTTCCGCCAAGAATAATTCTGACATTCGAAAGAGGTGCCTCTCGGATCAGTAGGGAAAAGTTTCCTGATTGTGCTCTATTTTATTTCTAGAGTGTTGCGTTTCTGCAAATGCTAAACCACTATTTCCCACTTTTACCTTACATAACGTCCGTGTTCGTCAATAATCAGTAAGGAAATTTTTGTGCTACATCAACGGCAATAATTACTTTGGGAATTGTTAAAAAAAATCTTTTAGCGAATATTTCACTTCTGTTTTTATCGCTACTTCAATTTTGATTTTCTCATCAATTTTGTTTAAAAAAACGTATAAATAATGCATTACCCCGAAAATCATTGCGTCATTGCGTCCCTGACTGTGACAAGCGGCAGGAAACGTAGTCTATTCTGCCTCTGTCATGGAAACTAAAATTTCCTGACAGAAAGTAGCATGAAAATGAAGGTTACAGGACGATTTTGGGTAAAATTTTATACAAAACTCGTCAGTAAAATGACATTACTTAACTCGGAAATTAAAGTACTCGGCTCAAAAGGGCCTCGCACTTCAATCTTTCCTCGGCAGTAATGTGTGATATTCCTGACTTTGATGTAAATAACTATTACGGAAAATAGTAGGTACTAATATAGCTTGCCAGTTACAAAAAATATACCTAGAAGTAGAACGAAGACTACCCGCTTCCTATAAGAATGTGTTACATGTTTATTACTCCAAATTTTACTTAACAACCATTTCATTCTGAAGCTTCCCAAACATTGTGTGCGTCTTTAACGCATTTTTTTAGGTTAAATATTCTATCCGTCATGGTATTGTAATGAATGGTTTCAACTTTCCGAGATCAATAAGTGGCTGGGGACGAGGGGGGGGGGGGGAGGGTGTTACAAATTGGTCTTTATGATATTTTAATTAAAGGTTTCAACGAAAAGAATCGTTTTCTACCAACTACCGCCCCTTGTTCCTTGCCACTTACAGTGGTTTCATCCTTTATGGTACCTATTCTAATGGAAGATCTGAATAATTACACCTCTCCTCTTATACTCCTTATCGAGATCGGTTATAATTCCTCATATCTCGGAAACGGAACGGAAGTTTAAGGAGCATACTCACAAACGGTTATTGGAAAGTCTGGAAGGAACATATCCCTTGATGATGTCAAAACTTTAAGTGCAAGTATCTCCAGAACGGAGTAGTGGCGAATGAGGTTATTCTCAAAAGGCGGAACGATTGCCATGTAACATTTCGTCAATGCTTCCAAAGCGATGTGTGATTAGTACGAAAAACGGATACCCATTACCCTGTACCCCAAAAAAAGTTTATTAAATAGGGGTTGTGTTCGCGTTTTACTTTACTCTACAATTAAAGTCGTAGTGATATAAAGCAGTCAGTGGGGAAAAGGATTAATGCGAAATTGAATGTACCAAATGGTTAAATCATTGAAATTAGTTAAAAACATGATACGCGGTGATATTTAATAAATTGCTAACACTTTTCAACGCCTACACGACTTGGTCATAGAAATTAAAAATTAGGGGCTATGTTGAGGGCCTAACGGAAGTGACTACGAAATTACGAGTTTTTAACGGAAGTTTTTATTACCGTAGATATGTTAATATATCGCAATCCAAAATATATTCAGATTGTGAGTCTTTACGGTAAATATCTAGCTAGTAGTGTATTCGATATTAACGGCCGACAAAAAGCGAATTCATGATTTTTGCCTTTCTGTCCGTCCGTCCGTTTGTGTACATGATAACTCGCGAACGCTTTCGAATTTTCCAGTTCTGTTTTCAGTAATAGGTAGACAATGGTCAAGGAATGATTCAATTTTGGTCAATACTCGTCAACGGGAAGTGGCCTTGTCGCTCGTTGTCTATATTGGTATGCAGTTTATTTATACAGCGTATAGAACGCGCTGATGATGAGCCTCAACCCTTTCACATAAAACAAATTAAAACATGCCTGATGTAATCAAAGTGTAATTGCCTTTATTTTATACCATCGCTCATTTAGTAAATGCATGTAAAATCTGCAAACGGCACGTACTTTGACTTTGTGCCATTCCTTGCGATTGTTGTACTTGTCATTTACTATTCATTGCCAATTTTCAAGATTCCAATAGGCGGGCCCGTCTCGTAACAAAACTGACTACAATAAGGTAAATGCCATACAAATCACTTAATTATAACTTCAATGGGGACGACTGTAAACATACGCTAACTAAAATCAGTCTGCTTTGAACCGGCGCGGCGTCGGTATTGAACGTGGCGTCGTCGATTAAACCTAACGTGACGTCTACTACACGTACATACCATCTAATTAGTGCGCTGGTTTGGGGGTTCTTTTTTAATTTGTTTGGTAAGAATTTTTTTTATAAATAAAACCTGGTGCTGTTGTGTAATTTTTAGTTTAATTTTTAACTCAATTCTTGCCAATTTGCTAATAATACATACCGCCTTGAAATGAATACGGAAGTTATTTGCAAACGGTCAGTACTGTAAATAGACGTTTCGCTAACACCTGATGATTTTACGTACCTGCAGCCCAAGTAGTCTAATGGATAAATTTAGTTTTTTTTTTTGTTATTAATTGCATACTGGCGTAGCAATACCTACTGGCATTGTTATTAGGGCAAAGACCTATGCCATAGGTTAAAATTGCCAATTTGTTTTATATTTATAAAAGTAACTTTACCTTCTTTTATTTAAATAAAGAAAGAAATGCGATACTAACGCACTTTTTATACGTTTTATATACCTATAATAAAAATTAGTTCGGGAAACGGCAACATTCCAGACTTTTATTCGTGGAACTCTATTATATACAATATAAAGTATATATACACATTATATAGTATGTATATAAGCATTACTAGCGTTTTCGATGAGTATAATATTCAAATGTCTATTCGAGCAAAACCGGAAAATCTAAATCCTCCCCATCAAAAGAAGTCGCTTGACTGTTTGCATCCTCCCAAAAGAAAAACTGACAACTTTCAAAAAATCAAACAAAAACACCAACAATGCAATGATATTGTAATGTAAATTTAATGACGTGTAAATTTATAACAGTCTTGAAAAGAATTGATTTATAACAGTTAAAATATCATTTGTCACTCACGAAGACACAATTTATAACAGCGCGAACTATTTATTACTTCGGCGTTGAAAGTGGAACTGTCTTGAATCATAAATCGATTTGCTTATATGTTCTCAAATAAGCACGTCATATTTCTCGGAAAGATTTCGCCACACCCTTCGTTTTCTGCAATATTCGCTACACAGGCTTCTCCCCACTCTTAAAACTGTTGCTTCTCGCAATACGGACGACGGTGGTAGCGCAGACACAGTCCCAGGCAACTATTGTTCCATTGGACGAACTTGATGGCGGTACTTGCACGAAGAGCCCCTCGTGCATCATCCATTTTTGAAGAAAAGGGTATCCACCGTCTTACGAGTAGGTTGAGGGGTTCCTCTGGGGCGACAGACCAATATTTTCACCCAGGTGCCCCGGAATACTGCGCACGATACGCCAGTCCTGCCTATCAAAACCACATCCGATCTTCGGAATTACCATCATTGTAACGCCATGAATATGTAGTTGTCGTTTCAAGTTTTGTAGAGCATTCCAAAAACGGTCACAAGACCGGTTTTTTGTTGCCAGATAATAAAGAAACCGTCCCTGCTCCTGCAGAAAACACATCTTATCCACCTCGGGACGTTGAAGGTAATTCCGCTGGTGCTTCAAACAAATCTTTAGATTCCTCACGGAATCGCGTTCGACCATCCCGTCTGACTGTGAGTGTAAAACAGTGGTTCTCGTCTTGCAAATGTCCAATAACTGAGGCAGGCTTTTGAATTACGCCCATTCGAAATTTCGTCCATGGTCAGAGTGTATAGTTCCAGGGGTACTCAAAATCTGCTACAAAGTTCTTTTACCAGGAACGTCTACCACGGTTGCCACTTTTTGATATTGTGGCGCATATGCTTCTGTCAATTTGCTGTCATATAGTCCATGGCCACCAAGATGTATTTGTTTCTAAAATCTCCGGAAAGAGGCCTGCGATATCAATGACTTTTCTTTCAAATGGACTACCCATAAAATGCGCATTTCTGCACCATTCCTTCACATTTTGTTTGCAATTCACCCAGTAGAAGCGTTTACGTACCTTAACCAGCGTTTTCGTCACTCCTAGACGCCCTCCCGATATGCATCGTGCATTTGTCGTAATATTTCAGATTTCTTGCTCTGCAGTATCACTAACTGCACCATGGTGGACGTGCCATCATCATTTTCTCGAATCCTCTTCAGAATATCATCTTCTAGCCGTAACAAATCCCACTGAGGTCAATACGCCTTTAGAACTGGACCGTATTGAGATACCTCTTCCCAGGTTTCCTTTTCGTTGTCCGGAATGGTACTTGGGTGCTTGTCAAAAAAGGATTACCATTTGAAAATACTAGTTAGACACGAAAATGTAATTTTGACAAATTGTTTTATTTCGATCTCTCATATTAGCCACTAAAACTTTGCGATTGTAATTTTTTTGCGATCACTTAAGGTCCTTAGATTAGTTTGGGTCGGATCATGGCCACCTATGTAGATGCAATATTAAAAATGGCTCTAAAAAAATCCAGTAGGCATAAAACCTTTTGAAAAGGTTCAGAATGATTCAGAATAATTGTCACAGAAATCCAAAAATGCAAAAATATACAGGGTGTGTTCTATTTAAAGATTCAAAACCTGGGCCATTTCCCATGAAACCGGAAGTGGGCGGAAAGGTATATCGGCACTATAAGCAAAAGGAAGAATTTATGAAGGTAACCTTTTATAATGAAATTGTAAGAGCTCTACCGTGTCAATTTAAACGTAGGACTTCACTTTAGAGGCTGTACAAATATAGATAATCGATTAATCATTACGTTGTGCAAACTACCCAAGGTGGGTGGATATAAGTTGATCAATGCCTAATAAGTAGATAAACAAATTCAATCGGAACATTTATCTAACAAAAAAATAGAATGACGATGGAAGAATGATTTGATTTGCTTCCATAATTAGCTGTTATAAATTAGAACACATGAGAACGTTAGGATTTGGTAAGTCCCAGAACCCTTGAAATCGCTTTCCCACGCATTTAAGACGCATTTTAGAGCTGAATTCGATCATAATCCTCTATATCAGAATGTGGGCAAAAATTTTAGGAATCGTATAATTTCACAATCAATTGTTGGGTGAAAATTTTCATAAATTCATTAATAAAAGATCCTACAATTTTTAGGATACTGATGAATACCAAACATTCCGAAATTTCGGCGAAAAGCTTGAGATTTTGAAGATAACTTTACAGAATCTCGTACCCCAACGATTTTTTTCTCAAAATTTGGAGATTTTTCGAATATTATCAGGAGATTAGGATGGAGCTGCTGTCGGAAATTCCTGGCTGTCCATTCGCCATTAAGTGTCCCTGACTTCAAAATCATGTATATGATAAGGCTCTTTCTAAGTTCTTAGCGATTGTTAAGTTAGGATTCTCAAAAGCTCTTACAGGCTATACAGGCTACTGAGAGGCTGTGGCGACCATTAGAACCTCAGGGAGAGAAGAGATTTGGTGACTTGTGAAAGCATTGTTAACCACTAATGACCAATAAAGTTTCTTAAAAGTTCTTAAACGTTCTAAAGACTTTTAAACAGTCTTAAAAGCCTTTCATGCTCTTGAAGATCCTAAAACTTCACGAATACACCTCTTAGTGAGGATCATTGAGGTTTGTTGGAAACTCCTTTAAAATCCTTTGAGAGCCCTGAAGAGGAATCTTTTGGATGGATAAGGTTCTCTCTTAAAATGCTTTAGTAGGTGTTACCTTCAGGTCCAAGTGTTGACTTTTTTATGTTACGCATTTTTTAAGGTGGAATAATTTTTCACAATCTTATTCTAGTATCATGTTGCTTCTTAAACTTATGGTCCTAGTAGTTGATTGTTTGTGAACCTGAGGTAAAACCACAGTAGAACAAAATTCATATTGCGTGTAGCCCTATAATAAAGACATGTGCAGTTAGTTATTGACATGTGTACAGTCGTGCAGAAATTAGCAAGTTTAGTAAATCGTTCAAGTGAGAAAGCATAAAATTGATCTATTTTTAAACACTAACCATTTTGCTTTTGCACTATATTCATATTAGTCAGAGTTATTTTTGCGAAATTGGTACTTGAAACCTTTAACAATTAATAGCCGCATACGCCGTGACTTATCCAACAACAAACCCTTAAATTTTTTCGGCTTGGTTTTGACTATTGATGCAGAAATCGACTTCTCGAACAAACGAAGTTAGAAAATAGGGGGGTTCTCAAACGTATTTAGATCGTTTCTGGCAAGTCATAACTTTTGTGATTATTTCTATATATAGAGATGTTTAACTGGGGTAGCTAATAGGGCCAAGTTCAGAATACAGATGTTAAATCCTTCACGCTTTAACATGCGGATGTGCAAATCAACGTAAACTCTCGCGTCTTGGACTTTTTTAGCACTTTAGGCATTAATCTCATTGTAGTAAACGTGAAAAAAGGCGCGAGCGTTAACCTCACCCCAAAGAAATGCAAGTTATTCATATATCTTGTACTACAGTTATTTTAAGAACTTAAGTGGAGAAATTATCCATGCGTATTTATTACCCACTATTCGGCATTCTATAGTTTTATTTTCAAAGCTCGAATTGCGCTACAGAAGCACGCATAAATAAAACTAAAGCAACAATCACAACGCGTGAGCTTTAATCATCGTTTCAAATTATGTTTGTTATTAAAATAGTAATATTTTACTGTTTCAGATTGGGAGTCATGATGGAAGTCGATCATATTTCATATATTTTTGGAAGTTTCTCGAGACGTCGGAGCCAAGAAGTCGGTGCAATGAAGCGTCGTTCATTGGAGGCGCCCAAAATTTCCCACGATCGTTCGAATTCGGCACCGCAGCATACGTCCAAAAAAATGGAAACGTCGTCATCTAGAACTAAGAGCATGTGCGGATACAAGCAGGATGATAACAAGTTTAGGTGTCCGTTTTGTAAACATTTCTTTGAGGAACCTCGCGTTTTACCCTGTCTGCATACGTTTTGTACGAAATGCTTGGAAACTATGGAGAAAATTAAAGGTGGAGTCGAGGTCGAATCCGAAAGTGAGTATTTAGATGCCAATCCGAATCTTTGCCTTGACGGAAAAGTATATATTTCTAAATAATTTGGGTCTATCTAAATTTGAACTTTATTTTAAGTAGGAACCATTATTATAACTGGAATAATAGAGGAAGTGGAAGACTAAGAGGCAACCTCCTGAGAGACATTACAAATTTTCTACCTGCAATAATACTTCCGGGCCAGTTGAACCAATCTCAAGTTTGGTTGCATTCCTTCATCAGTCTTATGGGTAATAGTTACTCAAATATCTTTCATGGTGTGGGAGATATGTTTCACCACCATATTTTGTAAAAAGACCCTCGCAATGAAATGCTTTCGAAAGCTACCACTGGCGCTGTCTTTGCACCAATGACCACTTTAGGACGTACTGACTTGCAAATAGAGAATAGACTCAATATCTATTTAAAACTACTGCATTTCACCCTAATACGAATAGCTTTAGCGTATTTTTTATGTATAAATTGTGCATAATTCTTGTGCAGACAAAGCGCATTTTTTAAACCGACATACCTTACTAAATAATTAGGTTATATGCGGTAGTAGCATGCTAAATTTATCGATGTTTAGCTTGTTGATAGATGACTAATGGAGAGGAGGCTCTTTACACATAAACATGTAAAGGTCGTCTGGCACACATTCAAAATCTACGCTATATAATGCAAAGAGAATTAAGCCCTTAGAAATTCTCCGCAATATTGCATTTTTCCTTTTTCTCCTTTAAGTGTTTACATGGCCATCTCATCTCAACCGCCCTTTGGGAGTACCTTCTCCGACAATCCGTTCTGCGTATATTTGCACTGAAGCTTTTGACATCACCGAATAGATATGTCTTGTCCAGACGATTCATTTTGCCTTTATGAGTACTTTCCTCCGACATACCGTTTTCGAGATATTCGCGCTTAAAGTTTTCACCAATGGATGTATTTCTTTCAGACATCCTAGTTACCCTTTGTGAGTACCCTCCTCCGACACTCCGCTCGTAAGATGCGAATTATAACCGGCTATGATAAGGCGTCCAGGAGCCTGGTCTGCGAAATCTATCAAATAGCGCTTTAACTCTGCTTAAAACGAATTGTCTTAGATTAACCCACAATGGTTAGCAGAACAAAAATAATCATTATAATAGCCCAACTACATCAAAAACCTAAAATCAATTTTTTAATCAAGCAAGTGCGTCCAAAATCAACCGAAAAACGATTTATCCTTGATTTCAAAATCTATAAAAAGAACTGGTTTTCTCAGGTCAACCGAGAAACGATATAGAATCCAGACTTGATTTGTTACAATCGACATGAAAAGCTAGTCCAGTCAGTCTATCACGTTTCGCCATGAAAACCTTTAGGTACATTAGGTACATCTCTGTCGATGAAAAAATCACTGAGTTGAAATTCTGCTGATTAACAATATCAAACAATGATAAAAGGAACTTCCCGAAAAGTCATGTAGTGGACTATTTATGTGTACAAAGCAAAATAAGTTATGGTATAGATATTCTTATAAATAAAAAACTTAGCACTGCGCAGTCTGCGCCTGCGCACATCTAATATTTAAAATATATGAGATACGTTAGCCTTAACTAGAAGAATCTTTGGTTAAAATCTTAAAAAAATATCTCCATAAGTAAGTAAGATAGGATTCCGCAGTTTGCCATGCGCACATCTGATTTTTACAATATGCGATATGCTTGTTTTTACTTGAAGCACCTTTAGTTAAAATTTCAAAAAAAATCTCTACAAATAAGAAAGTTAACATTGCGTATTCTGCGCATGCGCACACTAATCGTCAAGATTTTTACGCTACCGAATGCAAAACGAAGCTTTATTTTCTTTGTATTTTTCGATGTGATTGTTAGTGCTATAAAAAAGTAATATAGGCGTCATGTGCTTTTTGGGCCAAACTTAAAATGGTAGAATTAAAATTCGGAAATATTCGCTCGCTCTAAATTTTTTGAATGGAACACCCTGTAATCTAAAAAGATAGCATATTACATTCTCTTTGCTAAATAATAACAATGAACAATTCAAGATTAAACATTTTACAAAATAAAAATTCAAACATATTTTTTAATTGAATCATTTCTACCTTTTTATTTCACGTTTTTAATTAGTTTGAATGTTTTGAATATCATTCCTGGTGTTATATTTTTAAAAAGATAATTTAATATCCCATATTTTAAATTAAAATATATAGGGTGTTCCGTTTAAGAAAATGACCTAAGGTCCAATAACTTTTTTTACCTGATCCCGTAAACTTATTTTGAAAACAATGATTATTCAACAATCATTATACAGAAACTTTTGTAAGAAACATATTTAGGGATCTCTGTTAACTAGAAACAGCGTCATTCTGAAATTGACAATTTTTTGATTTTACCATTTTAAGTTTGGCCCAAAAGAAAGACAGATGTCTATAATACTTTTTTAATAGCACTAACAATTACGGAGATATCCTAGAAAAATGTCGAAAATGCGACACCCTGTATATATAATATTTTTCTACATAATAGCCAGCCCTTTCGATGCAGGTGGGGAGGCGAATAATGCCTGCTTCGAAAAGGTCTTCCGCATGCTCCCTCGCGCGCTTGCTCTTTCTAACGCCAATGTTGAGACTTAGGTACCTATTGAGGGACGGCCCACCCAAGTTGAAGCTCCAGCGGTTTTGACACCAATCTCCCAGGCCATTTCCGATGTTCGAATTATTCTGTAAATGTTTCGTGCAACAGAGATCTAGAGTACTGCTGGAACGTCCCAAAAAGTCTTACTCATCGGGACCAATCCACGACTGTCACGAGCCGCATTCTCAATTTTTTTCGCCAGAATCGCAGCCCCCCCTCATGCGCAGACTGCGCAAGGCCAATTTTCTTATTTATCGAGATGTTTCTTTGACATTTTAACCAAAGATGCTTTTAGCAAACTTATAGCATATTGTAAACATCAGATTAATGTGCGCATGCGGATGCGCAATATCAACTGCACAGTCAGTGCCAACTTTCTTACTTATGAAGATATTTCTTTAAAATTTTAACCATAATATGCCTCTAGTAATGAAAGCATAGCGCACATAGCTACGACCTTTAGGGAAGTACACTGATTAATTAATGGAAAATGCGTTTTTCGCGTTAGGACCAAAACCTTTTTACTTGTTTATAAATTGTTCCACATCATTACATCAAAAGGAGGTGATGGGGATATATCTAATTTATTTTATTTACGTTATTACGTAATATTTACACTGAAATTCAGAAGTGGTTTTCCAAAAATAATAAAAGTCATCAATTTTAACTAACGTACATCAAGTTTTTTTTATAGTTTAATCAATGAAATCTAACATACAAACATGTAAATGTAACCGACTCGTGTTTCAGCGAATCTAAAGGTTGCGTGACCTTATTAAGGTCCGGTTGTATAATGTCAGTTTAAACTTCAGTTTATAGTTGAATTGCGGGTTAAAGGATTTGATTTGCTAATATTTCACAAGTTGGTATTTCTCAGATCTGTCAGTTAAACCCAGGGTTAAACCAAACTGAAGTTTAACCTGACATTGTACAATCGGGCCTAAGCCTCCCAGGTACGATCATGAAATTGATAAAAATGGCTAGAAAGTAGAGCGGGTACCTTAATTAAGCGTTTTCAACAACAAAATTTGCGAGAGAAGCCCTAATTTTCCACACTCTTAATACAAAGTCCACATAATTTGGTCGAAATGTGAGCTTATGACACATTTCAGGATAACTTTTAAGTTGGTAAGGGTGTGCGCGTAACATTCCAACTTAAATTTCTTAAGAGGTTATGCTATTTTTCCAAGATTTTACTGTAGAATTAGGTATTTCCCAAATGTTGTCTTTTGGTCTTTTGTATTTCAAATTCGTGGCCCAGGATTGGGACCTCCGTAACGGTGAGAGATACAGTGTAGGTTAAATGGGGGCAAATCTGTGAAATTTCTGAAATATTTTCTTTGAAAAATAATTGACATATGACCAAAACACTGAATCTGAAATCGGGAATGGACGATTCCCGTTAGCGCCTACTATGGACACTTTTTTTCGGAGAATCTAAGCTAATATCAGAATGTTCATAGCACGCTAGATGTAGAAGCTATAGGCTAGATCTTGCTGAATCAGCATGGCTATGATGCATTCAAATGAATTTCTTTTTTTTGTTCTCTATCTCTATCCGTAAAAATGCCAATATGGGGCCCGTAAGAAATAAGAAAGTAGTAGCCAGTAGCTTCTACATCTAGCGTGCTAGATTCAGATTCATTATAACATTAAAGTCTCCCCAATAATAAACTGCTATGGTTTAGTCTGGTGCTTATCTTCAAAGTAAAATGCGGAGTGGAAGTAATGCAGTTCAATAATGTGGGCTGCTGAAGAGGGTATCATTACATTGACCCCCTCTCGAAACAAACTGGCGTAATCAATCGTCTAGGCTGGTCCTCTCGTTATACATGAAGCGATAGGGTGGATACATACCGAAACCTATGGGCGATCAAAGAAATAATTTGATCCATTGGTGCATATCTGAAACTCTCTCATAAATTGAACTAATTAAATTGTTCGTTTCAGCCACTATCAACGTTCAAACAGAGGAGTTAAATACAAGACAAGATCCTGATTCCGAGGGTTCCGGCTATGGTAGCGACAAATGCGAGGTCACACGCGACAATAGGACAAGGTTAATATGTCGTATGTGCGGAATTCCGTCACCCTTGCCTCCCGAAGGTGTAAGAGGATTGCCGTTACATTACCTCATACAACACCGAATGATACTCGCAACGCTCAACTCCTCATCGACACAGCTTCTCTGCGATTTTTGCCTGAACGACGTTCTTGTAAGGTGTTGAAACGTTTTCCTCAGCTTGATCGTTATATTTTAGGCAATTTACAGATGTACGAACTGCGCGTACAACTTGTGCGATACATGTGCAGAAGCTAGTGCTCGGCAGAAATGCTCAAAACATGAAATTTTGCACTTGGATGACGCTCGTAAAAGAGGTATTAGTCGAGTCCGGCGACAAATCATGTGCTCTGAACATCCAGATCGAGAGTTGGAAGTGTTTTGTTCGACGTGCTGTCAGGTACATTTTTACATTTGGGCACGTGTTCGATGGAATTATCCTCAAATTCAAACATATGCAACACGCCTTAACTACCGTCTCAATGTTAAATTGCTGCCATCCATTTAAAAATATCCTTTTACAGGTGATTTGTAGAGATTGTACATCCGCCTCTCACAAGGGACACATGTGCGAGTTGGCATCACGTGCTGCAAAATCCTTTACGGTCACAATGAGAAAGGCATTGGAGCGAGTGCGAAACATCGCCAAGGAAACGATTGAGTTATCCACACGTCTGCAGGGGGATTCGAAACGCATTCAAAGCAGATGCGATCGGGTTAAACAGGAAGTGGAAAGATATATGGATGTGTATCTCAGCGAGATAGAAAGACATCGCCAAAGATTATGTGATCAAATACAAGACGCCCAACGAGAAAACTTGGATTGTATCGCTGTGCAACAGGCCGAAATACAAAGAAGGCTAAGAGATGCGAAGGAAGTTGTCATTTTCACTGACGATTTATTAACCGAAGGCACTGATGTCGAATTATTGAGCTTCGTAAGAACGCTATTGAAAAGACTGGAAAGGTACAGTGAATTAGAGCTGTCTCACAATTGGAAAGTACCTGATAACTTACAGTTCCTACCCGATGAAATAGCAAAAGATGTGAGTGAGGACTTGTGTCCAATATATGGTGTTATTACAACGCAAACCGTCTCACCCCAAAATTGCGTACTGCAACTTGAAGGTAGGTAGACTTTTTTTACTTAATTACTCGCGACGCTTTTTTCTGAAATTTATGTTTCCGACGTTTTCTTGAAATTTACTAGTACATAAATAGCTCTGTCACCAATAATCTCACATCTCAAGGCTGAAATTCCGTATTTTGACAGCAACGTACACAAATGTGAGCAGTAGACCTTTCGGTTATAATTTAGAGCCAAATACTTTGTCAATGACATTGAAACGCTCGATTTTTATCGGCCTAGGATTTTTTCCACTAATTGTGTAATATTTCTAGGGTCAGATATTTATAACTTCAAACACGCATTTTCGTTCTCGGCGTTTTGAATTTGATACAAGGTTTACTACTTAGACTGCGGTGTTCTATTTTCCAGTTTCTGTTCATCACCACATCTACCGGGCGATTCATTAGAAGTGATGATCGTTTGAATTTCGCGCGTAAGGTTTTAGTGTTTTTTGCATTATTAAATTGACGGTTTGAATTTCGTTAGTAATTTTGTTCTGTCCATTGGTTCTGTCATGACTGTCATTTAAGAAACCAGTGTCGCCGTTAAATGTTGTGTGCCATTTGCGGTTTATTACTTTTTCCATTTTGAACAATTTTTAGAGTTGATGCACTAAAATATGTAAGAAACGTGACTAGTGTTAGTTTATAATTTGTGGTAAAACAGAAGCGGTATTTGTAGATTATAAATAAGTAAACGATTTACTGAAAGCATGATGATACACCACTGCAATTAAATAAATGATCATCAGTTAGTGCCAACTTCATAATTTTTTTGATTTGCGGGAAATTCAAATTGTCCTCACTTCTAATGAATCACCCGGTATAATAATTATTCAGACGGTATCTCGACACCTGGTGGTGACCGTGGAAAGTAGGTCAAAGTGGAGTTCACCTGCCTCGTGGCTGTGACCTTGAAAAATAAGTCGAGGTGAAACATTTCAAGAAGTCTGTGTCCAGTGAATTTAAACAAGACATCGTCATTCGCCCAGATACTTATAGATTTATGAACGCGAACGCGAACCAAAACGTGAACGAGAACTCAAACGTGAACGATTTGCGTTCCGTTTATGGGTTCGATTGGTGTTCACGTGTCGGTTCAATTCGCGTTCATCATGGGGTTTGGATTCGGGTTTAGACTAGAAAGTATTACATGCCCATTATGGGATGCAAGCTACTAAATCTAAGTACCTTGAACCAGTCATTGACCTCGAAAATGAAATATGACACCACACAATGGATACATTGACCTTTGATGATCTTCAAGATGGAATATATGACACCGCAAGGACCTGGTTATTGAAATTTGATAACGTGAAAATGAAATATGACACCACATATGGGAGTCTCGAACGGTGACCAACCTTTGGACTTTGAGCGGCGTGCAAACTTTGGACTTTGAACGGCGACCAACCTTTGGACTTTGAACGAGCAACCTTTGATGACCTTTGACAATTTTGGAGATCATCATATTGCTAACCTGTAGAGATGTCTATTTAGTTTTGAAATTCCTCGTAAAGAGGAGAACCAGATATCGACACCCGAATTAACCCTTATTGGAATTGAGTCAGAATATCCCTACATGGCAATCTCCATGACATATGACAACACAAACATGTGCCTATTGACCTTGGAAGTGAAATAAGATACGACAATAATTCCCTAGCTTAGAATAAACGGGGCACCGCAACGAAAGGGATCGTTGATCTTTGGCAAATCTGAAAGTGAAATGTGACAACACAAAACAATGAAGACGCGGACCTCTGATGGCCTTTAGATTCATCTCGACTTACTTTCCATGGTCACCACCAAATGGCTAAGGAATTATACCTAAACGATAGTGGATCTAGGAAGATAGCGGTGGTTAATATAAATTAATTCCTTTCGTTGAGGCTTCGCACTTGAATAACATGATAAGTAAAATTTGTGTTTACTAGTTTACTAACCACCCTCCTCCTCTCTCTCAATTTCAAAAATTACACTGGGCACCAATAAATGGTCATCGAATGTAAAAGTTACGTACGTTTTACTTTCCGAAACAACGTTTCAGGAAATAATTCATGGGGGTATCTCTTCATAAAGCAACAAAACTTGAAGGCTGCCTGTGACGCCTGCCTCTGGTGTGCATTCGATTTGCAGTTTTCATTGTATGTTACTTTAAACCATCGTGGTATTAATCAGCTATTGGTGTACGATATTGCATAAATATCACAACGGAAACCAAACATATCCACCTGATCACTTTGGTTAATCATCATTTTTAAAATTTTTAGTTACTAATTTTCCCGATAAGTATAGCAATGTCCATCATCAACTTTATTTCTTATGTGACTCGTAAAAAAGCATTTTTTATTACGATACAACGATGTACCTACACAAAAAATGTACACAAAAAATGGAAACTGCTGGTTTCAACAGGATGGTGCACCCGCGCACAACAACATAATCATGCGATAATACCTATCGGAGAAATTTTCAAATTTCCAGGAAATTTGTCCGATATGGCGGGTGGCGCTGTGAAATCTAACAGTTTCCACTTTTGTTTTTTTGTGATTGAAGTTGTGGGGTTAAATTAATTACAATCCCAAGTAGATTTTGACCCTGCGTACAAAATTAAGTACCCACAAATTAACGGGAGTGGGTAGGGGTAGCTTCGGGAAATTTGGTAATGGAGTGGGTAGGGGGAAGCTTCATGAAATCATCGTTGACAAATGACATGATCATGTTTGGTATTCACACTTTATAATTAATGCTAACCGTTTAAAAGCCTATAAAAATTTGTAAAAATACAAGGTGGTTATAAAATGTTAGAAAGCCATCTATGACACCAACATGGCCTATTGCACTTGATTTATAAAAAATTAAATAACTACATTTCCATGTCGAATTGTTCGGCATCGTCTGCAAATTGACCGAAAAAGTCCGCATTTCTCTTCTCGGCGCAAATTCTTTTAGACGGACTATGTTTCTTTTCAATACACTGCAAAGATCCATGATTTATTGCTATTGATTGCGGAATTTTCCAATTCGGCGGCGTGTTTGAGATTGGAGAGTTGCGCAAATTCATTATGACGGCTCTTTCATATACCATTTTTGTACCTGAAATACGAGAAATATAGTCAAAAGTGTGCGTTGTTTGCCTCTTGTTCTTATAGGGAAACTGTGACGGACATAAAGTTTTCTCTGATTGGCAGACTTTGAAACAAGTGGCCACTTGATTGAGGATGCACATTTTAATTCCTTAAGAATTTATTGCGGGGGTGATTTAGGCTCCTCTTCTGGTGCGTTTCTGCAATATTTGTTTTCTTCTCAAAATTACGTACCCAAAATGAAACAAATTGTTTCAAAATAAAATGAACCAATAATAAACTACACATCTAAGCAAAGTATTGTTCTTACCTACAGGCGTAGTAGAATACGCAGCACCCATCAAGGTTGGTGAATCACTAAGATGGGACGAATTTTTTGGAACTACAGAAATCCTTGTCAAAATTGGCTTGGCATCAGATACTTGTCCCGACATTTTACTGTGATACGAATAGACGATCACCCCGTTACCTATACCTTTCCTAATACTTAATATAGAATACAGTAACATGAATGAGACCGAAGCCAAAATTTATAGAAAAGCACTAATGACCGCTTCTCGTGTTTACCCTGATACCAGACACGTAGGACACCTTTCGGAACTTGGCATCAATCTTGTTTATCACTTCCATAAAATTTTGTTTACAGGACGGGAATTAACCGTCATTTAATTATTCTTTAATGTTTTTACTAGGTATTAATCGTACCTACTTATATACTTGAAATTTTATTGGCTTGTTTTTTCAATGTAGGTACCTATTTAAAAAACATAATTGCACGATTAAAGTAATCAAGTAATATTTTCTTATAAATCGATCAGTTATTTTCCGGTATTAATTATGTACAACATATTACATTCCTTTTACCACGCTACTCACTGTTAAATTCAAGCATAGGTAGGTACTCTAACAGTGTAAGCAATTTTAAAATTAACGTGATGTAACAAACATCGCCAACGAAGGGGTTGATTTTAATATAATGACTGCATCAGTTTCATTATCTCTATGTGTATTATTTATATAATTTGACTTTTTTTAAGTTTTCAAGTATAACAACATCCGCTATTTCGCATTTCAACTGTATTGACCCTAGGTATTTAACGTAATATTTTCTAAACCGTCAATTATCTCGTATAAATGAGGATCACCAAAAACCTCAATTCCCAATTTCACCCTCTTAATTTACACGTACCTACTTAGGCCCGGTGCACACGTCCGGTTTTTAAACATACGGCGCCGCTGCGGTACTGTAATTACACACGCGCGTGCGGCAACGTGTGAACCGGGCCTAAAACTTCGCTACCGTAGACGCACAAACTTTCTCCGTAAAAAAAATACACTCTCGATCATTCGAGTGCCTCGCCAATATATCCAATCACCCTGTGCTAATTTTACAGGTAGTTTACTTATAACCTCACGGTAATCTGCAGGTCGCGACTCTACGCGAATTAAGCACAGAAATACGTTAAAGGGCTCCCGTTACATATGCCACTAAGAGAGTTAGTTGTATGTGACATAGTTTTAAGTACCTCTGAAGCTGGGAAAGCTTCTGTTAAGAATATGATCGCGTTTCAAATACAAGAAAGAACGCAATGCTATGACTACTGATAGTTATTCCGTGTTGAGTGATCTGATTTCGTTATTCAATGGTTATATATTACGCAGATCGGTGTATTTACACTATCTTAAAGGTAAGAATTTAAATTAAATTGACGCATTCGTAGTCATAGTGTGGCGAATCTTCTAGAGCGATACCAAGGCGTCATCAAGTCCATAAATGAATGAAAGCGGATGTGACTCATTCTTTCTGTGAAATATAATATACTCTCTAGACTTTTCGAGAAGACTCCGAAAGCAACCTGCTTCTGCTTTTATCTACCTCAGAAGCGCTTAACACCACGCTGTATATCTTACCGTTACGGAGATTCCATTGACACGAACGAATTTGAACCACCCTCTGTACGCGTGAGCCACCAGTACTCTGTTAAGTCAACCACCGTGCGTTGACCCGTAGCGTGAATTTTATAAAGTGTTAAGAATTAACATGAAACAGTCAGCGCAGTTATTTCAACGACTACATGTAATTTATCACATACTTACTGTTTTTATTAGTGTAGCACTCTATAATAATCAAACAGAGCAAAAACAGTTGGAAGGAAAAGTTTTTGGTGACCATCAGCTAAACAGGATAATTTCCGGTTTAGAAACCATCACCGTAAATACGAACGATAGTGAAAATTTTAACCCATAACAACGGCGTGACCTGAAATAAAGTTTGCTTCCGAGAATATTATTTAGAAATTTAGGTTAGTAGGTAGATTGTACCATGGTTAGTAGGTACGAGAAAGAATAAAATGATTTCTATCTGCAATTACTCTTCAAAACAAAACAAATAAACATTGAGAAATCCTGTACGCGTGCACTTTGCTGAAGCCATCGAAAACCAGTTACCTACTACCTACGCCTTGCCGCGACCGACTTTTTTTGGCAATTTTGAACAGTCAAAGTTTATGACTTTTCACAATTGCTTATACAAGGCGTTTCTTTTTTCCCATAGTGCTATTGTTTCAGTTGCAAAATGTGTTGCCTAACCGAAATTCTTAAAATGTAACTAATGTAAGTATTAATTGCGAAGAAACTTTAATTCCACTTGTACATGCGGATAAAATGGCCCTTTGCACCGACAAATTTAAGCGGAGCTTAGCTTAAGCGTAGCTTAAAATCCATGGCAACGATTATTGAGACAATGGTTGCCATGGATTTTAAGCTAAGCTCGGCTTAAATTTGTCGGTGCAAACGGGCAAAACACTTATGCTTGAATGCGCACTGGCGGTTTCCTGTCATAGAAACGTAGCGCGTCGAGAGAGATGGAGCACAAGGAGGATCCACTAACTTTTAGCTAAAAACGATTAAAATGAAAATGCCTTCACAATCGCGCGATTAAAATTCGCCGTTCAATAACATTAACCGCAGAAATATGGTAGATACGTTCTTGCGAGCAAAGTCAAGCAGTAATCTCTTCAATTTTTTCGTGTCGGTTGTATTTAGGTAAGCTCGACTGTACTGCAAACAAGACGGAACGCAACGACCACGACCAGCGTTCCATTTTCACCAATAGTAAACCGGCATTCCGGCAGCGTCAGAACGAAACCGACGCAATTTTAGGACCAAAGACGTCATGGCTACACCGCGTGCTTCCCCAACACGTTCTTGATGCTTATCGCCAGACTTACTTTAGTTCACTTTCCGTACATAAAGTGGTACAAATGTAAATTTCCCTATGTTGAAATACAACGCGAAATCGAAATAATTTTTGTATGACTCAATATCAACATTTTCAATTCTTCCTTACGTACTAACAAAAACTACTTTGTAGGTTTAGAAAATATAAGGATAGGAAAAAAAATGGAAGTTACATTAGAAACATACGACAGCAGTAATGAACCACTGCAACGAGGCGGCGAGACTGTAATTGCAGACCTAAGGCATCGCGATGCAGGTATTTCCAGATCAGTGCAAGTAAAAGTAGAAGACAACCGCAATGGTACTTACAACCTCAAGTTCACACCGGATGTGGCAGGTAAACTACTTCTATCAGTATTGATAAAAGGCCAACCAATTAAGGTAGGTTTTAATATGATATAACTTTTACATAATAAATCTTTCGTAGGACAATCCATTTCCGATAGTGGTCAGAACATTAAGGCCACATCATGGTACATTTCACTGTTGCACATTCTGCTCAAGTGGTGGGAGTAAGGAGGCAACGTGTGGTTGTGGGGGAAAAATGCCGGGTGGATACAGAGGTTGTGGTCATGGGCACGATGGACACCCCGGTCGAAGGCACTGGTCTTGCTGTGGAAATGCTTTAGAACATTCTGAGTGTGTTCGCGCAAGTTCTACACATTACCAATTTACATTGTAAATATTATATTGTTTTCAAAAACATATTTATTTCAATTATAAACATTTCGAATATTTAACTATATCACAACTTAAATCAACTGGCACTGTTGCAAAAAGATCCTGAGAACCTAGTTTCTACAACAAAGTTTAAATTATTGTTATTGTATAGGTACCAATATTGTTCTACTTACGTTTGAGTATAACTGGAGCCCTCTTCTGTGAGCAAACTTTGGTTAAAATATAAAATAAAATTGTAAGTAACGAAATAAAAACAGTAGATATAATAAAACCAAGTTCATTTCTATGTCTAAATTTGCAGCAATTACTACTCCAATATCCTCTAGTTCCGTTCATCTAAATTAAACACATGTAAAAGTGACAAATTTTAATAATCTAAAAGCATACCACATCGACGACATCCATACAAACACCTCCTCTGTTTTCATAACTGATCGCAATGTAGAACTTGTTCAATTCATTGTATTGCTTCGCACAATTCTGGCACACTGTAGTTGCGTTGACATCAGGCTGTTTGATACAGTCGGTCAAGTTAGTAAATAATACATTAAAGGTTGTTGTTTCGACAGATGAAACGTTTGTTAATGTGCCGTTGTCCATTTGAAAGCACTCTGTAAGTTGAGATCTGTTAATGTCCATGTTCTCTTTTCTTTTGAATCTATATTATTTGAATTTGAACCTATGGCGTGGAAACATTTAATAAGCGACGGAATTCGACGAAGTATAAATGGGAGAAGTCAGTCAATAATTAAATGGATGGGAAATATATGAAAAATCCAACCTCCCTCGCCTAGTCTATTTAAAACGTTTACGCAACTGTCCAGAACAACCCCAAAACACAGTAGTTCCCTTTTACCTCTATTTCGATTCTTGTAATTAAAACTGAAATTATTTCGCGTTCTTCAATGTTCAAACATTGGGTTACGATTGAACGTCAAATACCAACTTTTAAATAATAAAAAAATAAAATGAAAAAAATAAATAAACAAAAATAAAATAAAATCACAAATAAATCAAATAAAAAAGACACCCTCAAAATTAATCTTTTGTTATTTTTTAAGGTGTAAAGTGACTATGGTAAAGAAAAGTAGGCGCTTGAAGCCCCCAGGCAACAAGTCCAAAATAATGACTTACTCCATTTGGGAAAATTCTTTATTTGGGTTGTTTAAATAAGTGTAGTTTGAGTAATTAATATTTCTTTAGATTTTTTATAATGTAGACCAGTGACCAGCGTTAGGTGTCTTTTTGAACGCGTGATTATATGTTAAAAAAAATGAATACTTACTATCACAGTTTGCTCTGTTCCATAATTCATTAGCATTACCATACAGAGTTTCTAATATTTCCAAGTTATCGAGATGAATGTAACCATCCAGACACACTCCATCTTCATCCTTAGACTAAAAGTATTAAAAAGTAAATAAGTAAAAA